AGGTAAGTTATTCAGACGAATTATCATGAAAGCGTTTATAAATAGAAGACAGACGATAACGATTAACATTGCATTTAATTTAAGGATCAAAGTTAACTGGAAAGAAAGAAACTGGAAGAGAGTTCAACAAGCGAGAAGTGCGAGAGAAGAAACTCTCAGCATAGAACATACGGTTACATTTTGCCGTTTCAACTGTAAAGTAATGAGACCTAACCGCCAATCTAGTACTGTTTAAATTCATAAAGACTATGACCCATAGAGGAAAGTTCATCAGAATAATTACCATGGAAGTATTCACAGAACAGGCAGAGGGAATATACGTTACGGCGGTGGGAAAGTGACTGAAGCCGAGATGCCATGTCACGACCAATAACATTGCAGATTCTCCTTTGGATTTCAACAAGACTCTCTAAATATATAGCCGGAACACCAAACCAGAAGTGACAGCATTATTCAAATCAAAGACGAAACGTAGACATCTTTACATAATGGTTTCATTCAGTCTCATTTCCCATCCTGCTTTGACTGCTATGGCGATTAACAAAGAGTTCTTTTCGTCGTCATAATTAACTTTGGTTTCGTTGTTGTCCTTTCACGGCTGTGGCGTGAAGAAGTTCAATCGGTGATCCGAGTTCAAAACCCGGCCTAAACTGCTGCCTTACGTTTTGGATACACCGCTTACGTACCAGGGTAGGTTTCTCTCGATTTATGTGCCAACCAGTTTTAAAAAAGAAAACTCTTTCGAACCGTGGACAAGATAACAGGAAACTACTTCACTGGTATTACATATCTATCTATCTATCTATCTATCTATCTATCTATCTATCTATCTCAATTTTACCGAATATCATTGGACCATTGACTAGAGAGGTTTTTTTATTTATTTTGGAACATCAGGTGGTGTTGCTTTGATAGGATAACCCCTGAAAAATGGTCTGTGGTATGAGTTTGCTCCCCACTTCAAGGCCCCAGACCAAGAATAACTGAGAAATTATCTATCTATCTATCTATCTATCTATCTATCTATCTCATTCTGTTCTTATCTATCTATCTATCTATCTATCTATCTATCTCATTCTGTTCTTATCTATCTATCTATCTATCTATCTATCTATCTATCTATCTATCTATCTATCTCATTCTGTTCTTATCTATCTATCTATCTATCTATCTATCTCATTCTGTTCTTATCTATCTATCTATCTATCTATCTATCTATCTATCTATCTATCTCATTCTGTTCTTATCTATCTATCTATCTATCTATCTATCTATCTATCTATCTATCTCATTCTGTTCTTATCTATCTATCTATCTATCTATCTATCTATCTATCTGTTCTTATCTATCTATCTATCTATCTCTGTTCTATCTATCTATCTATCTATTCTATCTTATCTATCTATCTATCTATCTATCTATCTCATTCTGTTCTTATCTGTTCATTATCTATCTATCTATCTATCTATCTATCTGTCTCTTATCTATGTTCTTATCTATCTATCTATCTATCTATCTATCTATCTCATTCTGTTCTTATCTATCTATCTATCTATCTATCTATCTATCTATCTATCTATCTATCCTATTCGTATTTCACGTCATAGTCAAATTCTTCCTTTTTTTCTGTGGGTCACTTCCTTGCTTCCTTCATATCTATCTATCTATCTATCTATCTATCCACGCACGCACACATATCTATCCATCCTACCCAATCTTACCGAATATCACTGGGTCATTGATTAGTGAGAGTTATTCTCTCGGAACATCCAGTCGTGTTGCTATGATACGTGGAGGATGACCCCTGAAAAAAAGCTCTGTGGAATGTGTTTGCACACCACTTGAAGAACCCCAACACCAAGAATAACCGAGAAATTATCTATCTATCTATCTATCTATCTATCTATCTATCTATCTATCTCATTCTGTTCTTACCTATCTGTCCATCCCCTTCTGTACTTTATCTATCTATCTATCTATCTATCTATCTATCTATCTATCTATCTATCTATCTATCTATCTATCTATCTACACACACACACACAAACGCGCGCGCAAACACACACACATATCTATGTATCCTCAATTTTACCGAATATCATTGAACCATTGAGTAGTGAGATTTTTTTTTCTTGGAAAATCCATTGGTGTTGCTTTGATAGGATAACCCCTGAAAAATGGTCTGTAGTAGGAGGTTGCTCCGCACTTCAAGGCCCCAGCACCAAGAATAACTGAGAAATTATCTATCTATCTATCTATCTATCTATCTATCTATCTATCTTACACACACGCACGCACGCACACACACAGGGACACACACACACATAAATCTGTCCTTCCAAATCTTTCCGAATATCACTGGAACATTGAGTAGTTTTATTTTGGAACATCCACTAGTGTTGCTTTGCTAGATTAATATACTTGAAGGATAAACACTGAAAACTGGTCTGTGTTACGAGTTTGCACCAAACTTCAAGACCTCAAGACCACGAGTAACTGAAAAATTATCTATCTATCTATCTATCTATCTATCTATCTATCTATCTATCTATCTATCTCGACCTGTTCATTATCTATCTATCTATCTATCTATCTATCTTAGTTTATTCATTATCTATCTATCTGTCTATCTATCTTAGTTTATTCATTATCTATCTATCTATCTATCTATCTATCTATCTATCTATCTATCTATCCACACACACACAAACACACACACACTTATCTAATAATTCTTCCGAATCGTACCGAATATCACTGGGTCATTTTTGCTTTGATAGTTTCATGATAACCCCTGAAAAAAACCTTGCACACCACTTGAAGAACCCCAAGACCAAGAATAACCGAGAAATTATCTATCTATCTATCTATCTATCTATCTATCTATCTATCTATCTATCTATCTATCTATCCTTATACTAAAAAAAGAACCCTGGGATTTCCAATATATATCATTATCATGCTTTTTTTAGAACTAATTATAGATTTTTATATTCATTCATGTCTCTCTCTCTCTCTCTCTCTCTCTCTCTCTCTATCTATCTATCTATCTATATATATATATATATATATATACGCGTGTGGGTATGTGTGAGTGTGTGTTTATGAGCTAGATTTTTCATCTATCTTTTCCGGTGTTAGCTCACGGCCAGTGTCTGGTAGTGAATGTCATTTATATAGGAGCCCACTAGTATTTTCATCATTAATGCATATCTCCTCAGGTGGCCGCGGACAGCAAGCGATGACACTACAGCTCAATCGAATCTGACCTGCGCCAAGGAGACCACGTTTTCAGTCGCCGCCATTTTACTATACTAGTCTCTCTCCTTCATTGTCCCTTAGCTCTCTCCTCCACCCCGTAATTCCGCGCCTGCTGGGACCTGCGGTCATATCTGCAGTTTAATTGCTCCACGATGCCTCCTGTCATTGCCGCTTTGTTACTGTATTCGTGTGTCTCTTTGTAAAACTATCACTTCTTCATCTTCCGATGTTCCTCTGATAACACATCTCTGACATTTTGTACCATATTTTGCGACATATACGATGCTAAGTCAAAAATTATCCACTTGTCCCACTCTCTTATGCTCATGCGTGCTTATTGTTGGTACTATTGTGGTCATGTGATCAAAATTCGAGCTTGATCGCTCCAGTTTCTCTTTGCTGCTGTTACAGTGTAAACATTGCCGCTCCGCTATCAGTGTGCACCAATGTAAGAACAGATAGCGGTGACCCGATTTCTCTGCTCGGAAGGTGTGTCATGGGCTGAAATTTATTGGAGGCTTTTAACACAATACGGCGACAGTACACCCATGCGTAGAAGTGCGTATGAGTGGATCGAGAAGGTTTAAAATTAGCCGGTCAAGCGTGGCGCACGAAGAAGAAACATGACGCCCGTTGACCTCAACCACTGTCGAGAAGATTCAGCAAGCTCGAGAGATGGTAATGGTGAACCGGGGAATTGTCATTGACAAAGTAGAATGTTCTCTGCGAATCATTGCTGTTTATTCCTCCTTTGCGCAGCAGATAGAAAAATGACGCGATCAAAATTCGATCCCATGACCACAATAATCAAACTTATTATAAAACCCAGGTTGTGTGTGTGTGTGTGTGTGTGTGTTCGTTTATATATTGGATCGGATTTCCTACCGATTTCAACAAAACTTCACAGGACTGCGTAAAATTACTTTGCGGTGGTTCTGACAGCGCCAAAAATGAGAAAAACACAATTGTTTTTGCACGAAATCAATTTGAAAACACGATTAAGAGGCATCGCTGTCAAGAATGAAAGGGGGACAACTCATATCGAGTTATACTTATTATAAAACCCAGGTTATTTGTGTGTGTGTGTCTGTGTTCGTTTATATATGGGTCGGATTTCCTACATTTTTCAACCGATTTCAACAAAATTTCACTTTTTTTTGGCAGGTAGTGTTTCTTATTGTCTTGCACATTTTTTTTCTTTATTTTTACATTCAGAATGCTTTAAAAATTCCATTTACAAGACAATTGTTTATAATAAAATTCTATTCAATCGGTAGACTCATAATGATTGAAAACAATGTCTTTATTTGAGTTTGGGTTTGACCAATTCGTAAAAAAAACTAATTAAGACATGCGTGTCCGTCAACCTTAAAGAATAATCTTTGTCAATTTTATTTTTCAGTCTTTATGATGGTCGATACTTGATCTATCTCTTACTGTTACATCCCCGGGCAACGCCGGGCTCTACTGCTAGTACTAATTATAAGCACGCATGAGCAGAAGGCAAACCGAAAGATATGCTATGTCGAAATGGCGGATAATTTCTGACTCACGCTCGTTTATTCACCCATTATTTATTTTGGTAAAATGGAAATTTGTCAATATTTGACATATAAGGGTGTTCCAATAAATTGGACCGATTTTAAATGTAAATTGAAGTTTAAGCATTTAATGATGTTTTTTCTTTTTCTTTCAGATTTAGCGGACATTTGGGCGATATTATTTTTCACACATAATTGCTATAACTTAAATAACATGATCCACTGGAGAAATAAATAAATTTTTACCAATAACATTGAGTTATTTACTGTTGACTTTGATCCGCCTTAATGAAACACCTTTATATATAAGCCATCTTAATGAAAGACCCTATATTTACAATTCAAAATGGCCACCTTTTAGTTTCAGCTTAGTCCTTATTATCTTTTCAACAGAAGTATATGACTTCTTCAACAAATCTCTCTTTGCTTAGGTTTCGTTTAGAAAGGCCACAGACATCACGGCAATATATATATATATATATATACACTATATATAGGATGTTCCAATAACTTGGATCGATTTTAAATGTGAATTAAGTGTAACCGTCTAATGATTTTTTTCTTTTTCTTTCAGATTAGGCGGATTTCTGGGCGATATTATTATTATTATTATTATTATTCACACATAATTGCCATGACTTAAATAACACGATCCAATAGAGAAATAAATAATCCGTCTTAATGAAACATCCTATATTTACAATTCAAAATGGCCACATTTTGCTTAGTCCTTATCTTTTAAACAGAAGTACATTGCTTCTTCCCCAAATCTCTGTGTGCGTAGATCTCGTTTAGAAAGGCCACATACACTACAAAAATTTTGATTTAAAAACCTTTTCTCAACATGTTTCTATGTTGTCAATTGGCCTAATAATATGCAACAAATATTTCTATTTCTATTTCACCGTATTCTTCGTCTTCTTCTTCTACATCGTCTTTTTCTTGTCACTATTATTATTGTCTTATTCCGTCTTATATATATATATATATATATATATATATATATGTAATAATAATAATAATAATAATAATAAGGCTAATATTCCATGGTCATAATTTATTACATTGGAATCGTAAATACGATCCAACTCATCAGACCTACAAATTCAAATTATATATATATATATATATATATATATATATATATATATATATATATTCAAACATGTAAAGAGTTCTAAATAAAGAAAATAATTCATTCAGAAGGAAAATCCTTGAGAGTACCGCCATTGAATATTATCCAAATATTAATCTACGACCAGGTATTTTTTTTTTTCAATATCACCTTTTCTAACAGAATCGTTACTCTGCCAATCCAACGTACACAACAAATATATCAGGAAATCAAAAGAAACCGGTTGAATCAGTCAACACAACAATACAAACAATATTTCTTCACTTGAAAATATTCTCAAACATAAAGTAATTGACATAATTTTTCTATGGACCATATGAATATACAATAGCGTTTATAAATTCTTCAATTGCTAATGACATTTTGTTTGTTGTTTATAGATACTTCCTTTCAATAAATTCATTAAGTTTCTTTTTTTGCCTTGAAAAAGTAATAAATTGGACGAAATGCGTCAATTAAAACAACACTTTTCATATTGTCTTTTTCCTTAATACATATATTGAAAGATATATTGTTCAATATAACAGACAGCGAATGCATGTCTATTAAATTTAATCAGAATCCGTTCTAAAGTTCGTATAGTTGCTTTAATTTCGGGCATATATATATATATATATATATATATATATATATATATATAAATATAAAAAAAAGAACAGTACGATATATAATCCGGTGTTCTTATAGATATTTTATTTTTACAAAATAGTACTTAATGTAAATTTACAGAGCATTAATATTATAATTATAAATTAATTGATTTAAAATATGTTTATTTTTCGCTACACAGTTCTAACCGTGTTTCCTTGAGGATGAAATGGAACTAATGTCTTTAATTTCATTACAAAATTAAATCCGGGGCTTTTTAGCTTCCATTTTATAAACATGGTTAGAACTGTGTAGCGAAAACATTTTAAAATATATATATATATATATATATATATATATATATATATATATATATATATATATATATGAAAAGTGAATATAAATATAAATAAAATATATATATGTATAATTATTTATATATTATATGCGGTACTTATTAGAAAGCGCTCAATATCAGAGATAGAGCTAACATATTTGGTTGGATAGATGTGAGTTTGTGACCCTGGGTTTCACGCTTTAGCGATCGTCAGTTGTCTGACGATCGCTAAAGCGTGAAACCCAGGGTCACAAACTCAACATCTATCCAATATATATATATATATATATATATATATATATATATATATATATATATATATATATATATATATATATATATATAAAGGCACGTCAAGCTAAATGACGGTTCTGTATAGGATACAGGTTCGAATCCTATCGGAGGACGAATATTTTCTGTGAAAATTTCTCGGACATTCAGGCCGGTAAATGTTGTTTAATACTGTTTATTATAAAACAGAGCATTTACTTAAATATTTGTATCTATAAAAAGAAGGTATAAACATAAAAATGTCTTAAAATAATTGTCAGACTTTATCCATTTCATTATATATAATGTAACAGATATTTTTTCGAAATTTCGATGCGTGTTCCTTACACCAAAACAAGGACAAAAGTCTATATAAACATATGTCCGCAAATCCTTCATTTTTGAGCTATTAAATTTAAAGAAAATTTACGTTAGATGACGCTGAGTTGCCATGTGGACTAGTTTATATTTGTCATTCGTGTACATTTGAGGCTAGTCTGTTTTCAACGTTTAACATGTGCAGTAATGTTATAACTGCGAATTGTTCTATTTAACAATGACAACATATTCCTATCATAGGCAGGTAGATATTATTTTTCATTCGGCTGCGCAAATGATAACGGATGCGAGGCTGCACACGTTAAATGGCCCTAGCATATCGTACATCTCATATTATTGCATAGAGGGTAATTCAAGAGCAGCTCCTGCATCCGTATCATTTGAAAAGTGTCCAGGGTCTTTCGCCCTCTATTCAGTCACCATAGGAGAACTTTTGACGATCCGTTGTTTG